GTTTCTTGAAATTACAGACACGTGTACTGTATGTGGATTTCTTTCTGCATGCATACTTAGCAACCAGCTGAACATATCAACAGCAAACAAACAACGGTCACCAACAGGGGGAAAGAGAGGGAAAAGAACACTTAGCAAGGAGGCAGGGCTATCTTTGAGTTCCAGGGCTGGGAGGAACAGTTGTTTAGTACTGGAAAGATATACCTTGAAATTACAGACACGTGTACTGTATGTGGATTTCTTTCTGCATGCATACTTAGCAACCAGCTGAACATATCAACAGCAAACAAACAACGGTCACCAACAGGGGGAAAGAGAGGGAAAAGAACACTTAGCAAGGAGGCAGGGCTATCTTTGAGTTCCAGGGCTGGGAGGAACAGTTGTTTAGTACTGGAAAGATGTACAAAGTCCCTCCCAGTCGCACAAACTACAGATAGCATGCAAGGCTGTAAACAAAACAGCTTTTTCATAATGTAGTGGTAATGCTGCTGCCCAGCTTCAGCAGGGAAAGATGCTTTTCTTCACCTAGCCGTGGTCTCGCAGTTTCTGCAGATGGAGGACTACCTAGCCAACACTATCCAAACCAGCATGGGAATATAAAGATATACTTACACCTTAGGATGTAAAGATACCCTCCGTGTAGCTGACTCTGCCTTTCTCAGCAGCTTGATTTCCATCCTTGGTGACCAGCCCTCCTTGTCCATCATTCTGAGAGCGCATGAGATGCTCCTGGCTGCAAATTTGTGATGCTGTGTGAGAAACCTCCCATTGCTAAATCTTTGCTTGCATTGGCTTTAATTACTGTTCAAGGTGGAGTGGAACAGAGCTGATGGACGGGGAAGGTTTGCTATTCCTCCCCCCCCCCAAGGTCAATGCTTAGGGACAAAGGATGGAAACAGAGTCCATAAGTCCTCTGTGTGTGTGTGTGTTTTCAGGCTACGAAGAGCAGCACTCAGAAACAGATGTACGCAGATGTGCGTCCTTGGATTTCAGCTCCCAAAATTCCCGAGAAATGATTCTAGAAGTTGCAATCGAAAATTTCCAATCTGCCTACTCCTAATTGGAACAAGCCCAAGGGGGTGTATCCTGACTGCCTCTCTGTAACCATTGCCCAAAGATTTTTGGGGACTATACTTGTGCAAGGCAGCAAAGTTTCGTCAGCAAGGTGTGCCCCTTTGCATTTTAAAAAGCAGAACATAATTAAGAACACCACAGCCCTTTTATTTTTCCAGACCTTGGCTCTTCCAGTCCTTGTTGGTAAAGCTTATTATGGGTTGGCTTGTCCTTTGTCGCCATCGTGTGTTCGTGTGCAGTGACACCTCCCGTCCGCAGCGCTTAGAAATGTCAGCTTTGGGGGACTACAAGGTCCAGCATCCCTCAGCCGGTCTGGCTGGTGGTTTATGGGAGCTGTAGTCCCAAAAAGGCAATGTTTTCAGCCTCTGATCTGGCACGACACGGATTCCCCCAGGCAAGGGCCGAAAATGGAGGAAAGTTTAAACACTTTCTCTCGCTCCGGAGACTTTGAGGCCTGTCTGGCATCTGCCAAGCAGGTCATGGGCTAAGCAGGTCATGAAGGTTTGGCAATATTGCTGATAATTTCTGCATTACAGTAAAAAAAAATTGGCATTTTGCAAGCTTTAGTTGCATGCACAGCCTGCAGCATTGTCTCCCATTGTGCTGATGTGGAAAAGAAAACAAGGCCAGATTTGACCAATGTTTCTTGCTACACCCATGAGCAGGCACGCTTCGGGCCCAGAATGCTTTTGAGTTCAGAGATTTGACCAATGTTTCTTGCTACACCCAGACAGGCTTCGGGCCCAGAACTCTTTTGAGTTCAAATCTAGTTTTGCTTTCTCTGGCTCCGATCCAGATCAGATGGATAAGGCCAAAGGGGAAAGTCTCTTGATAGAAACAGGGGGTAAAGAACAGGGTCACGGAGGTGCTTTCTAGTTATCATTTTTCCCCGTTCTTTTTTGTTGCTCAGATTTTGCACACGTATAAAGGCAGGGTGTCCCTCCCCGCTCTTCTGTCTCCCATTCATCGCACAAAACGGACAGGACTCCACACTATTTTTCCTTTCTTTTCTTTTTTTTTTTAAAAAAGGATTTGTTTATTATTTTAAAAATCCATGCATTTCGGGAGAGGGGAGGGGAGAAAACACAAAACACCTTTCTTCCCCCATCACAGTTCCTTTCCCCCCACAGAGCCTCTCAGTGGTTCCACCTTGCAGCGACGGGGAACGGAAAAGCGAGGTTTTGGAAATAAATAGTAGAAAATAGTTAAAAGCAAAAACACAGAAAATGGGATGTTGGGTGGTGGCGTGTGGCGTTATGGGGAAGACTAATCTCATGCTAAAAAACGCCACACCCTCGGAAGGCAGACCACAAACAGGCATTCACACCACAGCTTGGGGAAGTTACTTTTTTTTGGATCCTGGAACTTCTGAGACCACAAACAGGCATTCACACCACAGCCTGGGGAAGTTACTTTTTTTCGGATCCTGGAACTTCTGTTTTTTTGTGTTGTTGTTTTTAAAAGCACTTATCCAAATGCTGATTCAAACGCAGCTGTCTACTGCCTCTCTTGCAGAATTCACATGCTTCCGTTTGGTGCGCAACAGGAACTCGGAGATCTGACCCTTTTGGACTGCTGGGACTAAAACACCCCATCCAGCTCACTGGAGGATACTGGGATATGTAGTCCCAAGCAGGCCATATAAACCATTCGCCGTGACGCTATCTTGCAACCACACACACACACACAATCTCTGACACATTAATGAACACTCCCAGTCACACCTGATACACACCCCGTATTGCTAAGGGACCGGCACAACTGTGCACCAGACTGCCTGGTGCACAGGATTCGCACGTGGTAACTATAAATGCACCATCCAGGGTGCTCAGTCACAAGGGAGACTGCAGTAACGCCACCCATAACTGAGCACAATGAAAAAGTGCTGCTGGGTTTTTCTGCCTCTCCTGCCACACACGCAACTTAATTACACACCATGTCTAGAAAATGTGCTTTTCTCCGAGTCATTCTGCACACATGGAAGACCGAATCCAGCTGCGGATCCTGCCCTATAGGAACAAGCAGAACGAACACAAGGGTGGAAACGGCGCACTATGCGCACGTTTGTTTGTGTGTGCCTGCATACAATTGCCACACAGAGGAACACCAAAAATTTTACTCTTCCTTTCCGTGCTGACATGCGCGCCCATTTAATGTTCTCCCTTCTGAACATGCACACTCTTATATTCACAAGCACCCAGAAATTCACACATGCATTTTTTTCTAGTAATAATAATAGGACCTGCCTAGTGTTTATTTTCTTAAAACTATCAGTCAAATAATTATCCCTTTGTGGGTGAGGAAAACAGACGTCTGGGGGTTCCCCGGAATTCCACGCTGGCGCGCTTCCACGGTGCCACTGCCCGCTGGCTCCCAGAGTTTTTCTGTCTTTGGACTTTTGGACTCTTGGCATAAGCAAGCCGGCCAGGCAACCATAAGTGGATCCCACACACACACCCCTCTCTGTTTTATACAGCTACACAGATGGGAATTCGGGTCTGGGAACCACAGCAATTCACGTAAGGGGATGGGGGAGCAGGAGAGTTTAAACGTTTGTTTTATTCACCAAAATTTGCAGATGGAGGGTGCTTCCCAAGGGCGGGTGGCAAAACATTTAGATACTACTGGCTCTTTTCTCACTCCACGACACCTTTTTTTTCTCCTTAAATTCAACCAGTCCCGACAAGGATCCACAGCCATACTGGCCACACACACCCCATGGCAACATTGGCCTGTTTTGAGTTTTACTGAGCTATTTTAGCAAGACACCATCAAAGTGGGCAGGGGTGGGTGGGAAGTGTTGGCCTGATTTCTCGCCCAGGTGTCCCCTCAAATTTCACCTACGGACGCTGAAACCCCAACCTCATGCTCTATCCCTCCCTTTTCCCCCCTCTCCTGCCCGGAAAAGCACCCGTCCCGGATTGGCAGCAGCCGCATCCTACCCAACAAAAAGACCGATAAATATCACTAGTTTCCCCACCCACCTACCCAACACAAGGTTGTATACATGTGGAAAAACAAGTTTGAAGTTGGACCTGAGATGGGCGTGTGGGTGCAAAGGCCGTAGACCTAAAGAGGCGGCATGAATTTCTGAGCGCCAGGATGGGGCCCGGTCGACTTCACGGGCTTTGCTGGGGATGCTATGGCCGTGCAGAAAAGTCAGAATTGGGGGGACTACAAATCCCATAATTCCTTCACCAGCATAGCTACCAAGGATTCTGGGCTTTGTGGTCCCCCCCAAAAAGGGCAAGCTCTCTGGATTCTGTGCTATAATCCATAAATTGTTTGGGGGGGGAGAATTAAAGCGTTGAAATCCAGAAAAACCAACAAAGCCCAATAGTGTCAGTATTAAGGACTAGCAGTTTTTATTGGGCATTGAAGTAGGATTTCGTATTTGCAGAAATGGTCTGTAGTCCGTGAGAATGATTTACGCCCAATAAACCTTGTTAGTCGTTAAGGTGCCACAGAACCATCCCTAACGTTTGCTATAAGACAGGAATGGCCCACGTGTGGGAGGGGACTGCAAAGCCCATATTCCCTCGCTCTTGGTTTTGCTGGCTAGGGCAGATGGGAGTTGGAGTCTGACAACACAGGGTGGCCTATAGGTTGCCTGCAGAGGCTCTAACAGAATCCTCATCACTCTCCCTGAAAAATCCTACAATTTCCAGAATTCTTTGAAGGAGAAGACATGAGAGCAGCAAGCATGATGGTCATGACCAGCATTCTGAAGGTCTTTGGCACCACCTAGTGGTAGAAATCAGGAGCCACCTCCTAGGAATCTCAGCAGATGTCACCCTCTAGTGGAAGGAAAAGGGAGAACAAGTGGGTTTTTTTTGTTTTTTGTCCACAATGCCCCCTACTGGCTAGACTGGGGGGAAAAAGATTTCCAAGTTCTTCTCCCCTTCCACTCCTGCAGCTCTTTTTTTGGGCAGGGGGGAGCACCGCGGGCTGCTCATAGGAAAAACTGTGTCAGCGAGGAGGTCGACTGAGGGGTCACCGGCTCTGCCCCCTCCCCACCGTGAACCCCAGTGGCATCTCCCAGCAGCTTCTGACACCGGGCCTTGTAGATGTCACGTTCGTGAGCCACCCGGGCCATCTCAACCCGCAGGGACTCCAGCTGCTGGGCAAGCTGGGACTTCTCGGCCTCCAGGACGTGGCGCTGCTGAACCCGCTTGAACCGGCACGATTGAGCGTAGCCGCGGTTCTTGAGGGTGCGGCGCTTCTGCTTCAGCCGCTGGACCTCGTCCTTGCCGAAACCCCGGAGCTGGCGGTTCAGATCTCGCACCGACATGGAGACCAGCTGCGCGTCGGAGAAGCAGTCGGAGAGCAGCGGCACCTGGAGAAGGGTGGGGAAAAGCAGGGGGACCACGGAGAGGCCGGAGAGAGGACCCACGTATGAACAGAAAGGGAAAATAAAACAACTACACAGCACATCACACATTCCTGTTTAGAACAATCAGATAACTGGCTGAGAACATGACTCTTTTTTTGGACTAGAACTCCCAGAATCCTCCCTAGCCACGCTGGCTAGCAAATTCTGAGACCAACAGGCCAAAACCTATATCTTTTTCTAGCTTGGCTGCAAACCCTTAGGGAGAGGTGACCCTCCTTCTTCCGAGAAGGTTTGTGGCCACCATTCCTGGACTCGGACAGAGGGGCCCGACACCTCGCTCGTGGAGTACCAGCGTGTCTAGGACATTTCCCCGGGAGAGACCTAGCAAAAGTTTGCAAAACTTTTCCACAAAGCTTCTGATCTTCACCAGCTGGCACAACCACTGGTTTTGGGGGGAATCTGCTGGTTTTCTGACAACGCTGTCTATTTACTCCTCTGTGCTTTCATCTTGCAAATCTAGTCCAAATACGTAACTTTTTCAAGGTTTGGGGTATTCTGTACAATTATCCCTGGGGAGCCCGCCAATCCTCTGTCCCTTTACAACCTTTGGCAGGTCCTGTTAACCACGGCATAACTTTGCACTTTCTAGAACCAGAAGGTTCTGCCTCTTGTCTGAAGAGGGACTGGATTTTTTTGACTACAACTCCCAGAATGCTGGTTGAGGGATGTCCCTTGCTTTTCCCCCTTCCTGCCCCACACAGGTAATCCATTTCTTTTTAAAATCTCTCTTCTGCGGGTTACCTGCTGTTGCTCTGTCCCGAGAGCTTCGGTCGCTCCTAAGAACCCCTGCAGCTGGGGGGTCGCCCGGCCACGAAGGCCCGCTTCCGCCACGGGGACCCCGAGGAGGGCCTCCACGGCTTCGTCCAACCCTGGCACCATCTGGCCTTCGGGGCTTCCCCCCACGGCGGCCGCCAGAGTCTGGTGGAGCGTGGCCATCCAGTAGAGTTCTTCCAGGGTGGACTTGGGGTCCCCTCCGGCTTTGTCGAAGGTGGGCGAAGGTGGCACCGAGCTGCACGGGGTGGAACTCAAGGACGAGGCGCCCCCGCCGGGTCTGGAAACCTCTTGCTTGACCTCGAATCTCAGCAGGTCAAAGTCGTCCAGGTAATCGAGCGCCAGCGGGCTGGGAGGAAGGGTGCTCATCCTGCCCCGGACGAGAGAAAGAGAACATGAGGGACCGGACGAAGAAGCGAGGGATGGATCAGTGTCTGGGATAAACCAACCAGCAGCCTCTTTGATGGTTGGCTAGGGAGGGAGGGAGGGATCAGGTCCACGGAGATGCCACTCACCCCTAGCCCTGTAGATCTGGAGTGTATGGAGGTTGTCACTCCCTCCACTTTCTTACGATACAGCCCATAGCCTGCATGTGCAGGCATGCGCACAAAGACACGCTGGATCAAACCCAAGGCTTCTCTGATCCAGCATTCTGTTCACAAAGGGGAAAACAATCCACGGTCCATGGGAAACCCATAAGAGGGTTACGAATGCAAACGATATGCGCTCTGCACATGCACAGAGAGCATCCAGACCGAACATGACCGAATGGACAGGTTAGAATTTTCACAGCTCTGTGGAGAGCGAATTATGGCTAGATTCTTCTATGAACTAACGTTAGGGTCTTTTCCACCCAGGAGCTAAAGGAGATCTTTTGTGCTAAATCTGGGGATCCGTGACGCACAGAATAGCTCAAATGTACATCACTATGGAATCCCATCAAGAGCAAGAACCCCCATGAGAATCAGATCCACTGAGCCATGAAGGATTCCAGCATAACTGGAAAGATACCTTGCACCAACCCATTTAAAATCTTTATGGATTATTCAAAAACAAAGAACCGCCTCCCTCTCTACAGCTTGAAAAAAGTTACTTTTTTAAGACTACAGCTCCCAAAATTCATCCAGGCCAGCCTCTTCACTGAACAAGTAACCCCAAAAAACTTTTATCACACATTCTGCACCCCTGTGCGTTCACACCTTGGCTTCGGTGAGACTAAATCTTTAAGGCTATGAACCCTGAGCATTAGTTAAGTTTAGGAAGCAGGAAGCACCAGCAGGCTGCCGGGGACTTGCTCCCGAGTAAACCTGCTGGCAACGGGGTGAGGTGCCAAGCCTTTGCCTTGTGAGGCCTCGACATTTTAAGGCAGCAGAATGCAGGCGGAAGGATCGAGAAAGGATGAACCAAAATGGATCATCATCTCCGGCAGGAGGACTTGCAAAAATAAAAATAAAAAATGGAATTATTTCCTTGCTTTCTCTTGCTCCTCAAAAGCTGGAAAGGTCACTTTCTGCGGACTACAACTCCCAGAATCCTGGAGGGGGCAGGATTCTGGGATATGTAGTCCAAGGGTTTTTCCAGACTTGACTCTTTTTTTATGCTGTCCTATGAATTTATGAAACCATCACCAAGGGTTTTTTGGGGGGTGGTGGAAGAGGTGGCCAGTTTCTGGGGCACCCACCTGTTGGTTTGGGGGTCCATCGGTCTCCTGGTCCAGCTGGCAGACGAGTTCCCCTGGTTGACCTTTTGGCGAGGCTGGTGCCCCCCTCCTCAGCACCACGGCCAGGACAGGATGGCAGGCGGCTTGCCCAAGCCCAGAGACCAGATCCCGGACACGGGGGTCCCTTTTAAAGCTCCAGGGAAGCTGAGCTCAAAGGAATACATTAATGGCTGGCCAATGAGGCGCCTGGACTGGGCTGGCCCAGGAGGAAGAGGGATCACTGGCAGAGCGGCGCCTCCCCACCCCACACCCACCGGCCACCTCCCCATAACTGTGGGATGAGTTCAGTGTCTCTGGGAGGAGGCCCTCGCCCTTCCTCCCTCCCTGCCTTCCAGAACAAGTTTCCTTCTGCCCTTTACTTCCTCATCTGGAGAGGAGAAAGTGCCGCTCTTTGGTCTGACACAACCGCTGGCTGCTGCCAGGAGAAAGCCGAGCTCTCTGGGCTGACCCCAGACTTTGTGCTGCCTGAGACGACGGGCAAAGTGGCCCGGATATGTCCCTGCCAGCTGGAGCCTGCAAAACCCTTGGGTTATTATGAATGACACCTCCCAGCCTCCCACAGCCCTCTGTCCTTGCTCTCCATGGGCCGTGTTGGTGGGGATGGTGGGTGTCGTAGTACCAAACTATTTGGGGGTGCGGGTGGCTGAAGGAGATCACACCGCAGCCAACCAGACAGTTCTTGAGATCCAAAGGAGGCGACCGGACTCTTTTGGAAAGATCTCCTCGGGGTGAGGGGCCACAGTTCATGAAACTCCAGCCCTGTGGTTCTTCTCCTACAGTCCTTGACTGGCACTGGAGCCTCATGCCGCAGAAGATGTTGGCCTCCCTCTTTTATTGCCTTCTCTTCTGGCTGCTCCCAGCTTTCTCCTGCTCTGGTTTCCAACGCTGGGCTCCACCTTCCACCCACCTCAAGTATATCCTTTCACGTCAGGCTTAACGGCGAGAGAAAAAGGCTGCAACCGGCCCATCAATAATAACCTAGCGCCTCTGAGCATTTGCAGAGTGCATGGATGCATAACCTGGAATTAATTTGTTCATTGTGTGCTGTCAATTCAATTCTGACTTACGGTGCCCTGAACCTCTGGCTTCACCCCCAGGTTCCTAAAACACAGAGCTAACTCGGGTTAGAGGGGATGAATCTCAGGAACTCTGCACGGGCTCAGAAACAACCTCTCCCAAGACCCGTTTGGATGAGCAGAAACAGCAGCTGCTTCCTTCCAGAAAAAAAAAGAAAGAAAAAAGACCAATCTGGTTGTTTGTTTGTGTGTTTGTTGTCAATATTTCAGCTTTCCTTAAGACCCATTGAGGGCCCTCTGAGGACAGGCCTTGGAGACCGGAAGGGGGTCCAAGCAAAGTGGGGTGTGAACCTAGATGATATGATGATGATTACTCTCTGTGATGATGATGATGATGATGATAACTCTCTGCTCCTGCTCTGTAAGACCCTGCACAATATCAAAAATTTGAGCTCACAACCAGAGCTTGAAAATGTTCCATTTTAGGATGACAGTTCCCATCATCCGCTGGTTGGGGGATGATGGGAACTGTCGTCCCAAAATGGAACATTTTCAAGCTCGGCTTCACCATTCACCAAAGGCATCATCTTTCTATGGAGGGAGTGATTGTGAAGGGGGTGGACAAAAGCTGGGGAGGGGGGGTGCGGGCGCGCGTTTGTTCGAGATGAACGAAGCCCACAGAAAACGGATGAAACCTCGGTCCCCACCGGAGCCGCTGCTCATTTGAAAGCCGGGGGGCCGTTGGAGGGGAGGGAGGGAGCCCCCGTGGTCAGAATGCGACCCGGCCGGCCGGGTTGCCATGACTTCTGCCCCGTTCCTAATACCCAGCGTTGGGGCCGGGACAAAAGGGCCAGGCAGCGTGGCTAAGCGGTTGTGACAGGGGATTCTCGGCCTATTCAGGGTGACGTCACCCGGTCATCAGGCCTCACCCCACTCGCGGCCACGGACCAGCCACCCCTGGCGTGAGCGGGTCCCCGTTGTGAAGCCGACAGAGGACGGGTCGGGCTCCCCAGTTTGCCCCCTTTGTGACACGACAGGCCCCTTTCAGCCAGAGCCTTGCCGCAGGCAGGAGTTCAACAGGAAAAACTCCCTCCTTCCCAAGGGAACAGCTCCGGTGTCATTTCTGCCTGCTGCATGTGAACAGCACTGGTGTCATTTCTGCCTGCTGCATGTGAACAGCACCTGTGTCATTTCTGCCTGCTGCATGTGAACAGCACCTGTGTCATTTCTGCCTGCTGCATGTGAACAGCACTGCTGTCATTTCTGCCTGCTGCATTTGAGCAGCACCGGTATCATTTCTGCCTGCTGCATGTGAAGAGGCATCGGGTGTGCTTGTGTGTGCAAAAAAGAGTGCCAGGGAGACAGAGAGCGAAACAGGGGTACTTAGGTCAAATTAGTGAAAACTCACCCCGCCACACAGACGACCACTAGGCAACACAGACATCATGCGGGCACCTTGCAGAAAATGATTTTCCTGGAGTCTTTTCCGAGGTTGTTTGGAAGATCTCAGCCAGGCCACTGCAAAGTCTAAAAGAAAAGAAATAGAATTTTTAAAATAGACTTCACCTGTTGGATCCTGATGGATCGTGGCACTGTTACGGGCAAAAGAGGAGCCAAACCATAAAGGAAACTTAAAAAAAAAAAAAAAGGCCACTAACAGTCCTGTAGTGTGAGCCATTTCTCTTGAGGACCGTTTTGAAGAGACACAGTACAGTAGTTAAAAAGGAATATAATCCACTATGTCCATTCAAATCAGGCTCGGAACTAGGCCGATATCAACCAGTAGACCCCTCATGGTTAGCTAAGGTTTAAATCTGGGTATTAAGCAATATATTTTACAACATATAAAGAGGTGGGTTATGAACACTGACAGATGGAAGGTAGAATCTGTATATCCCTCCAGATCTGGTAAATAAAATAGAGTTCTGGGGATCGTTAAGGGTATGTTCTCTGTTTAATTAGCCAATCTTTCTATGCCCCTCCTTTTGATCACCCCCCCCCCAAATGTGTCTTGACCTCCTTGACCCACATTTCTCCCTGGCCTAATCCTGAGGCGGGTGACACTTTTAATGGGCTCCCAGCCCAGCCAAGCCGATTGCCCCTTACCCCAATCCCGCATCCACCCATCCCCTATTACCCCCCCCTCCGCCTTCATCCCGGCAAAATAAACACACCGATTAATTAGTCCGCTGGGGAGACTTTTAATGGAATCAGGAGAGTGGGCCAGAAGGGACGATTTCTCTTTGGGGGGATCAGATGGGGAGTTTAAACTTTTAACCCCAAGAGTCCACAATCTCCATTTTTTTTTAAAAAAAAAGTCCTCCACCACTTAAAAAAAACCACAACAATTTTGGATTAGGAAGACCAGATTATCTCTCCAGGGTGCAGGGGGTTAAACGGTCGGGCTGGGAGCCAGGGGAAGCTGAGGCTTTTGGGGGGGGGTTCCTGCCCAGAAACGGGTCACGGGCATCCCTCCATCGCCCCCATGGGCCAAGGACCGGCCCAAAACGGGAGATACATGGATGGTCTAAGCACAACAAGACACCCGCAACAATACACACTAATCACCCATCTACAGAAAAAGACAAAAGCCTATCTCACAGCCATAAATACTGCACACCCAAAGCCAACTACACCAGAGCACAGAGTCTGGTTGCCTTTACTACATGGCGGGTCCCCCAGCTTTTGGTGGCAGAAAGGGGTCAGGGTGGCCTAAGGCCATAAACAAGGGGGAGCCTCTCTGGGACTTTGCTATCTGGATTCAGGAGGGAGGGAGGGCGCTGGACCTGTTGAACATCCACATTGCTGCAAAGCTACAGAAGCCCTGCCAGGAAAGCAAGGGGGGGGGAACTTCTGATAAGAGGGCCATGAGATCAGACTTTAGAAGGACTCAAATCTATCAGGGCAAGGAAACGGGGATGATGGAAGCCATGCTGTGGTGCGGGCCGTGAACCCCAGCTTGCTGGCGTCCCCATCTCCTTTTGTTATTGTGCGATTCCTACTCCTGCCGATGCAAAAAAGTCAGTCCGAAAGCATGAGCTGTCCTCTGCCAATCTGGGCGTGAATCCGGGCATGGCTTATGGGCTGTCGAAAGTTCAAAGTTTCTCCTCCAGGATCATTCTCCGCCAACCTTAGCCCCCGACCTGGGGTTAAGACGTTCAAAGAGGGTAGGAGTCGGACCGGTGGAAAGGAAGCGTGTGTGTGTTTCCAGGATCATATCAGAGCCGGTCGGCGACTGGGATCATTTCCAAGCGGAGAGGAGAAACCCTGCTCCCCGTCAGCCTTCGGGGAGGACAAAAAGATGGACCACTTCCTTTTGGGGTGGGGGAACTACAACTCCCAGAATCCTCTACCACCCTATGGCCGTTAGCTGGGGATTATGGGACATTCCATTCAACAAGCATAATGCTTCCAAGATCTGGGCTAGACATCTGTTTGCTTACAGAAAGAGGAACACAGAAGTTTGTTCGAGACAACCTGCTCAGCAAAGCACCTCCACTTCTAACCCACTAGGCCACGCTCGGCCCCCAATATTTAGGGTTTCTCTTAAAATAGCCCTCTGTCTATGAGAGATAGCCTTGTCTGAGTCCGAACAGTCTTCATCCATACTCCTGGCTTTCTAACCAATGGCTGTTCCTGGATCTGGATCCCGTAACTTTCATTTTCAATTTGAAAACCTAAGTTACTAGTCCTCATGGTGGGGGATGAAAACAACGAAAGGGGCTCAGTCCTCTCTAAAATAATGCCTTTCCCCACCTTTCTTTTTCTTTTTTCTTTGTTTTCTTTTTTTTTTTGGCCGTGGGTTTTTAAAGATAATGAAAAGAACCTTCCATTCATACGGGAGGAGTAGAAAACCTGGTAGTGATGGGGATTCAATAATCCTTTTGTTTTGAGAGCCTACACAGGAACTTGGCCATGGAAGCTGAAACTATGACAAAACCATGTGCGGAAAATAATGTGTAGAAGAATCTAATCCAACCCTAGGGAGACTGGTTATTCTAAGAGACTAGATTTAGGTTTGAATGCAATTCGTTCTAAACCCGATATTGGAGTAGGTGGGTCTCAGACTGTGAAATGTATAATAAAATGTTTAGGGCACTCACAAGACGAACAGATTTATTGCAGGGGGAGCCTTGATGGATTATAAT